TAGTTCAATGTAATTTTCCTAATCATTCATACTATAGCTCTTCCGAGACTTATGGGTTCACAACACATTTTAACAAATCATATGGCCAGATTGAAAAGTAAACTAAGTGCAGAAGGAAATCATCACAATTATGGAATATAAACTATTTCAACATTCAATCCAACATTCCTACAAATCTACCACATCACCACAAGGAAAAACAAGTAAATCTACTCAGAAAGCATGGATACAACAACACCAGAATGCATTGAAACAAAGAGTTTCAACATACAAATGTGTTTCAGAAAACCACAATTCAAAATCACAAATATACTTATCTCTCTCCCTTTACTTTTTCAATTTTATAAGTTCGCATTATGTCTTTTCATATTTCTTTGAGCAAGTCTTAACCGACAATTGGTGACAAAATAAAGTATGTCTAAATTATCAAGTTTCAAGAGCAAAGATATCAACGCTATAAGGAAAAGAATAAATTGGTGAAGTCAAAGTAATCACTCTCACAGTGTTCACAACAAAGCTTTTGGACACACTTTTGAAAGAAAGCGGCAAGCTCGTGAAATTTATTGAGGCAAAGATAGAATCAAAGTTGATAGCCAAGTGAAGATTGAATCTACCTTGTCGGATACTCAAATACAAGAGTACCACAAGAGTTGGGCAAGTACTATCTGTGACAATGTTGGTCAAACTAAGTCCAAACTTTCAAGAAGACTATAATACCAAAGGAGAAAAAGAAGAGATGATCGTCTCTCATCAGGAAAAGAAAAGATGACGAGAAATAACAATGATTAGATGACTAGTGTTAATAAGTTGGGGTGAAGCCAATGAATTAGATTTGTGACTCTCAACCACACACATCAAACTACTTGACCTCGCCTAGAGAGTTCTCATTATAAGAAAAAAAATGGTATAATACAAGACAATGTTCAACTAATTTCAACAATTAGATCTAACTTAAAAATAATTATATATGTAAGATCCAAAATTTGTTTCCCTGTTTTGCTACCGAGTCGCGAATCAAATTTTCCTTTTCTTCCCTCTCGTGATCGCATCCCACCTCTCGTGAATCGTAGGAATCTCACAATCTCCCTCTGCAACTGACTTCATGATTTGTGATTCTTTCCTATTTCCCCAGCATGCTTGTCGCCTTCCCTAATGTAGATTCCCTCGTTGGCACTAATTGACGTTCTCCTGCGCCTCTACCGCCTCTTTTCTCTATTTAAGTAGGGTGAAGAATAGGGCGTCGCATGATCACTCCACCCCACTCCCTCCGCGCGCCTCTGCCTATCACGAATCAAAGTTTTCTAATTCCTCGGTGTGCTTGTCTCGATGCAACTAATTGTTTTTTATTTAGGAATAAACATACGCTTCCTAGTTAAGAGCATTAATTCCTATTATTTATGGTAGATTTTTATTTACTTCATAGGATTATCAGTTAGCCCTTATTACTTTAATTTTCTTATTTTGCACTTGTGATAGAGTTCATTTATTGCTCATAATTAAGTACTTAGCTGCCTTATTTTATTGGTGTAAAACTTCATGCATATTTGATCCTGCAATTATAATATTATTTTCAGATAGTTTACCTTTAGGAAATTGCATGTAAATTTATGTCATATCACGGGTCTATGTGAAGTAGTATTTTTTTACATATTATACATGTGAAAATTTTGGTATATTTATGTGTAATGATGTATAGGTCGGTAAAACCATTTTGAATATCAGCTAGTCGGGCTGACGGGCCAACAACATAACGACTCTACAAGAAATAACCTAACTTTAGGATATCTGTTAAAATCAACTATATAGATATAAATTAAACTAAAATTCAATAAACTGTTAAGTTATGTACTAATATAATTTTATTGGATTTAAAGTAATTGTATATCCATAATTGAGCATATTCATGTTTCAATACTCATGTGATTCTATGATGTTATTAATGTTTAATCGTTTATCTTTGTTGTTTATACTGCATACCCCATTTTCCTTCTAATTTATGTTTTGATAAATAGTTGTTATTTATTGAACTTGTTTGTCAAACTCACTTGTTAATATTTTTGCATAACATACTATATTCAACCACTAGCAGGACCATCTCCACACTAGCAAACTTCTTAGTTTTAGGTTTCTATTTTTTGTATATTTCATTATTTGCATTAGTTTTTGTATTTTCTTTTTTGTATAAGGGTAATCATTCTTTGCGGTCATTTCGGTTTTGATTCAATCGGTTTTATTTTTTTCCTTTAAGTTTATATCAGTAGACTATTAATTATGAAACAAAATTTATAATTCTTTGTTTATTACTATTTTTATTTGTATAGATTTTTCTTTGATAATACAAAATATGTTCAATTTATTTCATGATGTCCTGAGTTGTCGGCGTGTACAACATTCAGGACCCGGGTTATGACAATATAATTATGTTAAAAAAATAAAGGCGTGCAACTATATTAAATAATTGCATGTTATACGACAATACTTTATAAAAGGATAACTATGGCATATTTTGGCTAATAAAAGAAGCATCCTCAAGAGTGACACCACAAGTGCTCTCCACTTTGCCTCTTACCATCATCAATGAATATTAGAATATCACTTTGATTTCTAGGGAAAAATTGCATGAAATATCCTATCTTTCTTAACTTTCAACTTGTCATTGTCTCTAAAAGACGATCCTTTTGCAATCAATAATTAGCTTAGGCATTTATGAAAATGAGAAAAGCATTCATAAGTATGCAATGTGAATGACTAAGAGGGCATTTAGATTTCTGTTTTTTTTTTTTTAATTCCAAAATACAAACTACGTGTAACTACCACTCGGACCCAAAATACGTTCAACCACTAATTTTTTGAGTTTCCAAACTAAGCTTTTTCACCAACAAAGTTAAACTCACAATCCAAAAATGTAGATGTAAGCATGAAAAAAGCATCTAAAAGCAACGCAGGGAAAGTTGAAATCTATATGAAAACAAAGACTGCTCAAAGATATCAAATTCTCGAATATTTGATAAATTCTCAACTCCAACCAATGTTCAAGTGAAACGAACGTGCATTGCCAATCTTACAATGCCGAAACCAACAATCATGCACTCAACATTGTGTCCCGTACAAAGCTAATCACCATATGGCATATAAGTGGAAAATTACGACTTATCATTTCGAGTCAAGTATACATTAAATTACTTCCAACTCGAGTTTGATGATTTCAAGTCAAGTTTGAGTAAGGCGTTCGATTTTGATTTTGAGCTTAAATTTAGCATAACTCGCCTAAAGTTGACTCAAAATTATCCCAAATGCTTGCCAAAACCCTAGCTATTCTTGCTCATCAACATTGAAATCCTTCAATAGTTTCAAATCTGTCAATTCAAGAATGGCCTTAATGAAGAAAAGATCTTTCATGAATGCACTTCGAGAAACCCAACAAAGAGAATATGTCTTTTAATTCAACAATTACATACTGGAAGGGTAAGTGGTCTTCCAACTCATGATGACTATCTGAAAAAGCATGAATCTCGCATGTGCCAGTATTCCTTAACACAAATCAAGGCATTTACATACAATTTAAGAAGGAATTTATATCATATTCATGTCACTCCTTAAGCTTTTGGAATGCTTCCCAAGGCATCCTTATCTATGCACAATATGATCCTTCAACTCAAGAAACAATGAACCGATCTCTTCAACATCATAAAAAAAAATTCCATGTTATTTGGACAATGTACAATTTTTTGTGAACCATGTAAAGCACATATCATACCAAACATCAAACAAGATGGAGTCCATACTAAATGCCCATTTAGCACTTTCCATGTATTTGCTAGTATCTTTTATTTCTATACTCATTCAGTGGTCTAATTCAACCTATTATCGATTATTTCATTTAGTATAAAAATGATTACAATAGCTAATCTATTAAAAATTACTAGACATATAAAAAAAAGTATTATAATTAAGGAAACCTGAAACATCCCTCAAAATTTCCCATAATTAAGCCAATGATATGAAACTTAAAGTTACCACAGAGATATAGAATATAATAAAACTGAATGACCATGGCGACCTAAAATTATTTCCTTGTGTTGCTCTGACAGAACCTTCTAAAATCCACCAATGACCAACTACTTTAAGCATTATTATCATTGAAACGGTAAAAACAGTCATTCAAAAATTCTTCTTTGCGGGCGGCTAATCAAACAAATTACATATTAAAATTAATCGGACAATGCAACAACAGCAAAAGACAGTAAAAAAATGGACTTCAGAAGCAACGAAATTAGAATAAAAAGAGCAAAGTCAATACAAGAAATGACTGTTTATATACATACCGCCCAATTCCCGTGTATTTACATTTCTAACACCTATACTTAACTTCTTTCACATTGATACAATCCAAATCTTTCATGTAACACAAAAAAGTACCACCATTTTAACTTTTAAAACATGAAATGTATGTAAAAAATGAAGTTTAGGTGTTAGATATGTGACTACATATGAATTGAGTGGTATATACGCAAATCTTCCCCAAAGAAAAGTCCCCCAAAAATGAAACAAAAAAAAAAGTGGGCTCAGAAAAAACAATGAGATCGTATCAGAACCTCCATGCCCCCATGGAAGTGGTTAAACGCAGGTAGCCGTGAAAAAATCTGTCATTTACTTTTCCAAATCTGCAGGAATGGATTTACCTATGCAGCTTTCAGGTTTTAGTCATCCAAAACCTTATTTATAAAAGAGAGAATATATTCCAGCAGTTTCTCAACAGCGGGCATTCTTAAAAGAATGACTCTCGAATTACACGGATCTCAAGCTACAAAAATTCCATGAGATTATCAGGGAAATGCAAATAAACGCCCGCTTTATGTCAAAATCTCCGCAAAATCACTAAAGAATCAACATTCAACCAAAATCAACGCAGCGGATGCAAAGGGATGACAAAAAAACGCGTGAATAAATACAGCAAAAAAAAAATTAATTTTGGTTTGGGAACAAAAAGGACAATTTACCTCAGAGAAAAAAATGCTGTTTGAAAATTTTGGAGAAGAAGATATGGATACAGGTAGATTCGCGCAGAGGCAAAGGGAAAACACTAAACTCGCAACAGATTGGGGAAGATGAGCCGCGAAAGATCAAAAGTCATTGCCGGGAAGGAAAGAGGGGGAGCGGTAGGAAAAAAATAATAATGAAAAGAGGACGTCTCCCCGTTTCTGAAGGCATTGAACAAGAGCGAGTCAGCGTGAGAAGCGGAGAGCACGAAAGCAATTTGGGGGAAAGGTACTGGATGGACGCGTTCTAGAGCGAGCAATAAACCCGCGACTGGTTTTGTAACAAACGGAAGGATTCCCCAAAAAAGAGAGAATCAAGTTTTCCAAATCATATTGAGTCTTATCCACTCTTCAAAATTGAATCTTTGCGTCCAATTTGCGAATCAATGCCGGCTTGTGCTGAAATTATTGGGTGAGCAAAGTTAAATTTTGATGAAGTGAAGCTTGAATATGAGCACACGTACATGAGGGATGGGAATTTTTAGTAAAAAGGAACTTTTTTTGTAAGCTTGAAGTCGAGTGTTGCCTTGTTCAGAATACAAATCGTAATTTCTAAGCAGAATTTTAATTGTTTGAGAATCGAAGGTTATAAGGCTGTTAAAAGGGCTTGTGGTCATAAATGGTGTTTAGATCCTCCGTGTTTGATTGGTTAAATAGTTCATATTTTACTGATTGAATAAATAGTTATGTTGGATTTGTTTGCTAAGCAAATAGGCTGAACATAATTTTTTTCTTTGTGCTCAATTTATAAATGAATCGATCGCAAACCAAAATTTGTTCGTTCAGTTTTACTCGAAAAAATTAAATTATATACATAGAGAAAGAGATGTATTAGCTGAAATTCTTAATTATGTTTCATTTTCTCTCTCTTTTTTTTCAAACAATTAAAATGCATGGAACATGTCATACTTATCATTTAAATTAAAGAAGTATGAAGTCATTTTAAAATTGCAATCTTTGATTGAATTAATTATAAAACAATAGAAGAGATTCAATTAATTAAAATTCTTAATTCATTTTTCTTAATTCACAATAAAATTTCTTGAAAATGAATTAACATTTGTTTAAAAAAATTATGCATTATGAAAATTTGATGATGGATTTATTTGAGAAAGTTATACTTTTTATATTAAATAAATTTAATTTTATAGAAATTTAATTTCAATTACAATTCTCTAATATATAATTTGATGAAAAATAAATTTTAACTTTTTTTAGTTTAATTTTAATTATATCAAATATAAATTTTGATAATTTATTTTTATATTTTTAAAAAATTGAGAAAATTATTGAAAAAGGACACTTGTGTCCCCGCGTTTAAAAATTTATTATTTCACTACCACATACATATAGGACTGTAAACGAGCCGAGCTTGAGCGAGCCCAGGCCCGGCTCGTGTTCGGCTCGCTCGAATCTGGCTCATGTTCGAAATCAGCTCGTGTTCGAAATGGCTCGTGAACAGTGTGTTCGTGTTCGGCTCGAATAACATTTCATGTTTGTGTTCGGCTGGTGTTCGGCTCGAAAATGGCTCGTTAGAATATAAAATTATTTAATAAATATTATTTTAAAAAAAATAATAATTTTGTCTAAAAATATTTCAAGGACAAATTTCATACAAAAATTCAGAAATTTATTAACTTAAAAAAATGATGAATTCAAAAAACTTTACAAAATTGATTACAACTGTTTTTTACAAGAATATTAACATTATTTGACAAAAGCTTAAAAAATAAGAATCAATTTATCACAAATTTTAAAATGTACAAACTAAATAAGAATAAAAAAAATACAAATAAAATCTTAAAATAAAAATCTAAATCTAAAAATAATTGTATTGAACATTTAATTCTTATTATGCTTTACATACAACTCAAATAACTAAAACTAATTTCTGCACATTATAACTTCATGAAACTGTTAGTCTGACTCCATGAACTGGTGCTGCAGGCATAACTAGAGTCTTCAAAGTTTTTTTGTTTCAGATCTTGAATTTGAGCTCCTTGTGATTGGTAAATCAGCTACATCATTTCATTTATGGCAATCTTTTCACCTCATTAATTAAATAAAATATGAAGAGAAAAAAGAAAGTGGCTTAGGTACATACTGAGTATACATATAGGTTTGTGACATGTTCTTTTTATTAATAGAAGTATGAATGCGAACATATAAGCCAATTTAATGTCATATGTATTTTAAACCAATTTATGTATATGTATTTTATGAGACATTTCACTGATTGTTTGTGAAGTACACGAATTTTTATTTGCATGCTAAAATTTTGGATTGTGAGCTTCTCAACAAGCATGTTAAATGAAAAACCACTCCATTCTTTGAATTGAACATGAGTCATGTAATTATTTAAAATTAATTTTGGCATTAAATAGATTCACCTACGTCCACGGAGAATGAGATTCCACTAACACTGGATGGGAGAAAAAAAAATGATAACTCAACGCTTCTCCATAATCCCTCGTAAACACTATTTCCTCTTTTATAGAGGATGCTTAGAGCATATAAGGAAAGGAACCAAAAAAGAAATAAACCAAGTATAATAAACTCATAAAATACAACAATATCCACCTTGTCTATTTCTTTCAGATAAGTGAGAGATGATCAAATGAGCTCCAAACTCTAATTCAGTTGCACCAAGATGGTTGCATATGTATACCCCCTCCCGAAGGCAGCAAGCCTCATGTAGTTCTTCAAAATGCTCGACTGAAAAATCAATTCAAAGCTTGGATGTTCACCAAATTCATGCAATAGGTGAACTTAGAGATTGGTAGCACCTTCGTGAGCATGCATGTTAGATTCTTCTTCTTATATAGCTTCTTCAATAAAAAATTGTCTTCTTCAATCAAATCCCGATATCTCACATCAATGTGTTTGGTACGAATATGATGAATTGGACCTGTGACCAAGAATATTGCAATCTGACTGTCACCGAGCACCTTCAGAAAGTCTCATTCAACTCTCAAGTCATCTAACAGGACCTACAGGCTACATCCATATTGTTTCCTTCATCACATTTGTAGATGTCATGTACTCAGTATCCGTAGTAGACTGAAGGGCCAACTACCAACTTACTGGACCTCCTATCAATGTGAATAAATAGACAGTCATAGATCTTTGTCTATACATATCACTCGCATAGTCAGGGTGAGTGCAACCTACACACAGATCTGCAATAGATGATTGCCTCTCAAACACCAAGCCAACATCAATTGTACATTTTAGACACCTCAAAATACTCTTCACAACCTCGAAATGACTCCTTTTTGGGTCATGCATAAAATTACTCACAACATCAACTGCTTGTACAATGTCTGGTCTAGTAGAAACCATTACATACATCAAACAACCCATTACACGAGTAAAAGGAACCAATCACATATCTTTTCTTTTATGATCATCTTTAGAACACTACTTTGAACTCAACTGTAAAAGAGATGTAATGGGTATACTCACTACCTTGCTTGAGTTATCAACCCTAAATCTCTTCAGCACCTTCTGAATATAAGCTCCTTGCAAAAGCCAAATATTATCAGCGCCTTGTCTTTGAGAATCTTCATGTCAAGAATGTTGCAAGCTTCACTAACTCCTTCATTTCAAAATGTTTGGACAGTTGATTTTTTATTCTATCAACTTCAATTTGACTATCATATGCAATCAACAGTTCATCAACATATATAAGTAAATAAATGAACTCATAATTGGCCAACATTTTGAAATATGCACAATGATCATATTGGCTCCTCGTGTATTTTTTCCCCTCGTAAACTAAAATTTATACACTGTCAATGTGCTTATTTCAACTCATACAAAGACTTATACAGTTTGTAAACCAAGTCATTTGATGCTCATATTCAGGCGGTTGCAACATGTACGTAGATCTCCTCCTGTAGTTCTCTATGTAGGAATGCAATCTTCCATTAAACCGTTCCAAGATCAGACTCTATTGCGCTAAAAGTGTTAAGAGAACACAATTTGAGGGATGCTTGACCACTTGGGAGAACATGTCTTCTAATCAATATTTTCTAGCCTTTGCCACTAATCTTGTATTGTACTCCACATCAGCTTTATGAGATTCTTTTATTTTTGTATACACTCATTTGCACCCAATGGCTTTCCTTCTCAGAGGAAGCTTCACCAACCTCCAAGTACCATTCTTCTGAAGAGACTCTATCACTTCATCCATTGCCACTCTTAAATAATACAGACTTGACTCTCCACTGCTTCTTTTTAGCGACAAGAAATTTTTGCCTCTGTAGCTAAAAGTGCAAATTCAATGTAATTCCTCAACCAAACTAGTTTTGAGACATTTTGGTGCCTAGTTCTGCTTCTAGCAATAGATTTATGAGTAGTAATCTCATTTTCAGAATCTTGATTCACCTCCTCTCGAGCACTATCAACAAATACCTCATGAGCAGCAACTGAATCAGATATCTGAGTCGAAGTGGACAAACTCTGTGGAACAAATGAAGTTGCATCAAAATCCAACTTCTGTTGCATATATGTGGTCCCAATAGAACTCTCCATCTACTTTGAGTCTCAATTTTTCAACAAGCTTGTCTCGTTGAATGTAACATCCCTGCTAAGGACAACCTTCCTTTATGACTAATCATACAGCTTGAAGCCCTTGACTCCAAGCTAGAAGCCAACAAAGATCACATTCTTTGCTCGTGGTTTCTATTTCATTTTGTACGTGGTAGTAAATTGGACAACCGAACACTCTCATGTACTCATAATCTCTAGCAGGATGTCTTAACTAGATCTTCTTTGGGATCTTTTTCCTAATAATTGTAGAAGGTAGACAGTTCACCAAGTGTTAGACATATTCTATGGTCTCGTCCCGATAGATTCTATCCAACTCAGTATTGGATAACATACACTAAACTTTCTCCACCAAAGTCTGATTCATCATCTTTGTCATCTCGTTCTGTTATGGGGTCTCTCGAATGGTTAAGTCATGTTTTATCTCAGCTCTCAAACACTCTTGCAAGAACACATTTGAAATGTATTTGCCCTCATTTTCTGATTTGATACACCGTATCATTTTGTCGGTCTTAATCTCAATCAACTTCTTCTAAGTTATGAAAATCTTCAACACTTCACTTTTTCACTTCATGGTGTACACACAATCATACCTAGAGTAATCATCAAGAAAAAAGAAAAGTATTTGCACCCGCTAAAAAAAGTTGTCTTTGTCAAGCCTCAAACATTTATGTGAACAAACTTTAAAATACCTTTTTTGTTGTGGATGACAGTCCCAAAAGATACTAATGTCTTATTGTTAAATACACGGTGTTCACATAAATCAAGTTTGTAGGTGCTTGTTCCTTTGATCAATCTTTTCTTCACTAAAGCCTGAAGTAAAGCATCTCCAGCATGAGCTGACCACATATTC